GTGAGTGTGAGTGTGTGTGTGTGAGAGTGTGAGTGTGAGTGTGTGTGTACCTGTTTTTCTATTCTGGTGGGAACTTAAACCTGACTACACAAAGAGGTAGGGGTAGGGTTGGTGTAGGGCAATAGAATATACGGTCTGTACAGTATAAAAACCATTACCCCTATGGAGAGTCCCCACTTTTCACAAAAACAAACCTGTGTGTGTGTCTGTGTGTGAAAAAATTCTGATGTATCCCCCTTTGCAATAGTTACCATTTCCATAAGTAACCGGTAAAATATGGACAAACCCAGCAATTGGGTTGTTTGTCCTTATTTGACCCAGCACTGAGTTGTATTTAACCCAGCATTTTTTAGAGTGAACGTTCAGTCTAGCATATGAAAGTTAAACTGGCCTCTCTTTGCATCTGTAGTGTTGTGTTGAGACTGCTGATGGTCGCGGCGCGGGGGACGACAGGTCACCTCCTCTCCGGCCTCCATCTTGGCCTTGTTACTGATGGTCAGCCTCTTCATGTGCACCAGAAGCTCTGGCCGACCCTGTTTGAAGACGGGATTGTGGAAGTGGTGCAGGTTTCGGCGTCTGTCCTTGAAGGACCTGTCATAAACCTTCCGGAAGCCGTAGAGGTTGAGCTGCCGGATGAAGCTGGTGAAGTTGGTGGTCTTGAACAGCTTAGCGTCTTGTTTGACCGGCGACAGCAACTCGTCCTCGAACCGCTGCTGGTCGACGATCACGCTCTCTCCATTTGGGCTCCAGAAGACCGAGTCGTTTTGGGGATTGTTTATCAGACGCCACAACTTAGCCGGGAAGTTATTGTAGTTTATGTGGACTCTGAGAAGAGACTTATCAAACTCCGCATCCATCACGGTCAACTCAAATAATCAATTAATGACCTGCAGATCATGGAAATGACATAAACATCACTATAAACATTCAAAAACAACTTATAAATGGTAAACAAGTCATTAGCTCATAATTGATACAGCTTAGATCGAATAGATCATTAGAAATAGTCAATAAATATAAAAGGTGTGATCATAATAGAACACAATACATGTATATCATCCAAATCTATGAAACTTTGTTAATTAAATCGATTTATTAATATCAAGGTTTACCGTCTTCTACCGCAGCCGTTACTGGAGCCGTTATGCGCGTTTACATACAAATCACATTCAAACCGCATCAGAATGAGGCTCACGTGACCTCTCGGGTCACGTGAGTTAACAGCGGGCTCTGGTCAGTTTGTTTACAGTCACCTTCTAAAATAGCTAATTTTGTTTAAAAATATTTTTAAACCTTGTGGAATATTTTTAAAAAACATTATCGAATTAATAGGCGTTGGGTTCTATTCAGTGGAGCATTCCCATTCCATTATGAAACTATTAATTTGCGCAGTTCGTTTGCATTCACCCTCTAAAATTGCTTTAGAATCCATTTTGTTTGAAAAATATTTTGGACTGTCACGGTATATATTTAGGAAAAAACATTATGGAATGAATAGGCTCTGTGTTTCTATTAATTCGATCATTTCCATTCCACGAAACTCTTTTTACGTTCTTATTGGAATGTAGTAGGTAATGCAGCTCACTAGTCACAAACCACAATACCTACAGATTAATTATCTAAATGCAGCTTAACGACAGAATTAGAATTTTATGCAATTATATGATCAGAAATAAATAAATAATATTTCATATCACGGTCGCGTGTAAGTGACGTCATTAAACGTCGCCGAATGTGCGGCTCTGGCTAGCGAACGCTAACAACTCGTCGAAACAGTCGTTGTAAACAATCTATTGTCGGTTTGTTTGCTGTTTGTTTTCAAGTATATTTCAGCAAAGCAACAGGAATGTCTCTGGAGGCTGTCCCGAAAGATCTGCGTCATTTGAGAGCGTGTCTGCTGTGCTCTCTTGTCAAGGTAAACGAGACATGAATCAAAACATATGCTTTCATCATTAATATATTTACATATTTAGATACTCGGAGCAGATGAATATAGCACAATATTACGTTGGCATACAACTCTATAGACTGGCTTTCTGGATCGTATCACGATAATGTTTTTGGACATAGAAATACCATGTTATGAATATGTGTGTGTGTGTGTGTGTGTGCGCGTGCGTGCACATCCATGTGAAAACATCAATCTACTTCTTACAGATATACAGTGCACATCATATTTTTAGATGCAGTTGTAGGCTTAACAGTAACAACCTTATAAAACTCTAAAACGTAGTTTGTTTACTGTGGCAAATATTTGTATGGGCATATACTTGGAAATCTATTTGACTGATATGATCTTTCATCTTCTCTGGCTTCAGACCATTGATCAGTTTGAGTACGACGGATGCGACAACTGTGAATCATACCTGCAGATGAAGGGCAATCGAGAGATGGTTTATGAATGCACAAGCTCTTCTTTTGATGGGTATGTAATGGTATTTCTTACAGTTAAAAAGAGAATTCACTCCAAAGTAAACCAGATCATAATTTACTCTCCCTCGTGTTGGTCTAAACAAGTATGGCTTGCTTGCTTTCTTCCAAAGACCAAAAACAGAGATGCTTGGCAGAGCTGTTCTTCACACTTAAAAAGCACCATTACAGTAACCCATGCAGCTTAGGAAAGAGAATTACACTGGGTTGCAAAGTTAGGTGTCAGAACTCATAGAATATTCATTTGGAGTCAACTCTACACACGCATATATGTTGGATTTCATTTGAGCTCTAATGCGTGATGTGTCCTCATTATAGAGTTATTGCTATGATGAGCTCAGAGGACAGTTGGGTGGCAAAATGGCAAAGAATCGGTGAGTATTTGAGTGCACTTTACCTGTGAGGTGTTCAGAAGCAGTCAGGTGCTCAAGCAGTTCTGTCTTTACATTCATTTATATATAGCATCTTTACACATTACAGATAGTTTCAAAGCCGCTTCACGTTAATAAACTGGAAAATAAGTGTTAATGTTACATCAATTATGAAACAAATTCAAGTTCAGCTATAAAGCAGCTTTACGGAAGGCTCAGTGACAATGTGGATGTCTTTCTCAGGTAACTTCAAGCCAGGCGTCTATGCAGTAACGGTAACGGGGCGGTTACCTCCAGGTTAGTGTCAGATTTTGGTCTCGTTCGGGAGAATGGCTCTCTCATGACTGTAAGTGAAGGATGTTGATTTTGTGTTTTGTGTCTCAGGTGTGGTGCGAGAGCTGAAGAGCAGAGGCGTCATCTACAGATCCAGAGACACGGCTGTTAAAACATGAAAACATCACTTTATGGATCACGTTTGTAAAGCGACACACATAACCAGCTGTTTAGTGACTGCAGTTCTGTTAGTGTCTATTTCATTTAATGTCTTATGATTTTCTTTTTTTATTTACACTTTTTGGGTATTTGGATCGATAATTGTTTGATTATGAATTCCATGTAAATGATTTAAACATGAATAAAAGTTTTATAAACAGCGTTTTGTTTCTGCTCAGCCTGTTTTTTTTTGTATATGGTCAGTAGGGTTTCTACAGTTGAAAAGGTCTTACAAAGTCTTCTTTCACCCTTCCACAAATTAAGGCCTTTTTAAAACATATATTAAATCAGAGCACAAAGTCTTAATCTAATTAAATATTGCTTGCACTGCGAAAATGAATATCTGATGAATATATGAATATTCCGATACAAATATCTAAACATCCCTAAATCAAAATATATTACTTGTGAAAGAAAACAAAGATATGCATTCTTGTTTTCTGAGAGACTGAACAAAAATGAGCTTATGCATAAAACAAAAGCAAATATCTGTAAGTTGAACTAAGATTTTTCTGACCCCACTGGCAGATATTTGTTCTCATTGTAATCATAAACACTTGATTTTGATAAATTTCTCATTAAACGAGACTTGTCAAATTGCTTTTCAAGTAAATGCAACTTTATTCATGAATCTTTAGACATTTTCCCTGGAAATAAGACAAAAACTGATGAAGAACATCACTTTTTTTTTTTTAGTGTGATCAGAAGTTACAGTAAACGTAGAATATTTCCTAGTGTTTCTAGTGTTTGGAAGCAGAACTATTCAAACATTAAAGGAACACTCCACTATTTTTGAAAATAGGCTCATTTTCCAACTCCCCTAGAGTTAAACAGTTGAGTTTTACCATTTTCGAATCCATTCAGCCGATCTCTGGGTCTGGCGGTGGCACTTTTAGCTTAGCTTAGCATAGATCATTGAATCTGATTAGACCGTTAGCATCTCGCTAAAAAATGACCAAAGAGTTTCTATATAGAAACTCTTTGGTCATTTTTGACTGAGATGCTAACGGTCTAATCCGATTCAATGATCTATGCTAAGCTAAGCTAAAAGTGCTACCGCCAGACCCGGAGATCGGCTGAATGGATTCAAAAACGGTAAAACTCACCTGTGTAACTCTAGGGGAGTTGGAAAATGAGCCTATTTTCAAAAATAGTGGAGTGTTCCTTTAAACTTATGTTATTGTAAAATATTTAAAAAGTATTGGAGATTGTATTTTAATGCTTTGCCGTGTGCTTCTAAGACATTCACATTTAGAGAACATAATGATATATATTTTGTTCCCTTCAATTTAATCCCTAAATGTTCTTTACTTGGTCTTCTAAAGTCTTAAATGCACTTTATAAAACCAGCAGAAAGCCTGTGTAATTGTGAGAAGACACCACGAGAGGGCGCAGAAATCAAACTGACACCGACTTGAGAAACAGACAAGAGTCTCCTCATCAGAGTGGAGCTCAGATTCATTAATGGGGTTTACTAGGACTCATATTATGGTCAGGGATCTAAACACCCCACTAACCCACACTAAGCTAATACATGTGACTCATCCAAGCTGTTTATTCAACGGACATGATGCACTGTTTATTAGGGGAAAAAACATTTTCTGGACTTGGAGGATGATACAATACCTATTATATTTAAATATGGTATATTTGACTGAAATATCATGCTACCGACGTATAACAACTTCCCCCCAATCACTAGATTATTTTTGTACTTTCTTGGTATTTTATTCCTACCTTGTTGTGGTAGCTTATTCCTGGTCAAAAATGTCGAGCCTGCAAAAAAATACTTATGTTGTATTATTACCAAATATTGGATTCAATGGTTTTATCAACTTGTTTTCTTTCAGTTATCACTGGTTGACAAAATATTGAATTGAAGATTTGATGATAATAGAGCATTATGAGACTTGACACGGCAGGGAACATCAAATTAGGTAAAGGATTTTCAGCACAGCAAGGGTTAAAGCTGCTAAATGACTGAAATACTCAGGAACTAGTAAATGTAAGTGAACAAGATTAAGTAGATCTGAATAACTAAACATTTACTCTCATTATACGGACCGTTTCAAAGCATGCTGGGAAGTTCAGTTTCCCCTCTTTGCATGCAATTGTTAATTGTGTCCAAAATTAAGAATAATGACATGGATTGAGTAATACCTTAAGTATAATTTCTCATTTTCAAATTTTTAGGTTGAAATTTAACAAAAATATGATGTATATCCCCTATTATAATAATAATAGATATAAATATATATATATATATATATATATAAACAGAATGAACTTTTTTTTAAAGCATTCATTTTGGCAGGTCCAGCTGAAAAAAATCAGATAAGTGATATTCAGCGATTTTAAAGTAGTATTAATTACTGTGAGATTTACAAAGAATTTGTGAAAGTGCAAGCAGATGGGACACGAGTGCTTATGTTCATTAAGACATAAATGTATTGTTGTGTCTGTAGTTAATTGTAATTTAATGCAACAAAGTGTCACACTGTTGATCATTTGCATCATAAACACTGCAACTAACCTTTGACGAATATGAGCTTTTTGAAAGTTTCTGTTTTCGATGTCGATGTGGGAAGCGTGCCAGTTGGGCCTGATTTTTCCATGTTTGAGAAACACATCTCCACCTCTGTCACGTTTCAGAGGGAAACATCACCTCCTTCACACGAGCAAACAACAGTTACCGACTGACTCACAAATGAGTCTTCACAGTCATTTCAGTCGTTTCACTGCAGCAGCACGCTGTCTGAGAAGTGCTGCACGCACAAACTTCTTACCAGAAGTCATTTTCATGGTACATTTCTTGATGTTACATGATGTTAAACACACACACACTCACTGAAGTCACACTTCAAAATGTCTGAATGTTATTGCATTAGATCACAAAATATCAAACCAAGAAAACACAAGCACACC